CACCTCTTTTCGAAGGAGATTACACTTTGGTATTTTATCAAGAATACACTCTATCTTTTCCCCAAGATATTAAGACGTGTAAAATGAGTGGGTAATTTGCATTTTCTCTTCCCCACGTTTATTAGCAAGTATAAATTTTTTGTGCCCCACTTATTTTATTTCACACACTTGAAACCCCCTACCCCACCAAATATCAACTCAAAACCCCTGATGAATTACCGGCTGGGAGGAGACCTACCAATTTCAAATCGGGATGTTTCAAGCCAAATTGAAAGACAAGGATTACAAGCTGTGGTCTACGCAGACGTTCGAATACGACTTGTGATTCGTCAACGACAATACAGTGAAATCGAGAAATGGAGGTAATTAAGGATTTATTACACTTAAATTTATTGCATTTATTAATAAAAATAAAATACAATCCACTGATATTTGCTATAAATAAAGTGCACAAAAATATTTTAAATTAAAGAAGCTATAAATCTGTTGTTATTTATTTATTTTGGTTCCCCTAGTTTTCAAAATGCCTGTAGTCATCGGCTCGCCAAAGTGCCGAGATATGAATCCAGGGCGGACCTTTATGATAGTCGGCGTGCAAAGTAGACAATTTTATGTACGTAATTTTAATTTAACTTCTGACATCTGAAATATTTGATAAATAGATATCTTTATGTATTTTTAAGCAATGGTAAACCATAATAAGTACACACATACATATGTGTATCTATCAAATAATAATTTGAATTCATAGAGATAAATTATTATAATTTAATTATTTATGTATTAACCGTTAGCAAGTAACAAACATAATTAATAAATGTAATAACAATAATTTTGCAATATACTAAGTACATGAACAATCACATTATTAATTTAATTTAAGCTTAAAATAAGTAAATTATTTTCTCATAAACATAATTATAAAATTTTGGTATGGATAAAGTACACAGAAATGCACATAAACTACTTTTCCCCAAATTCAGAAAGACATGGTGTGGGGATTATGTAGATCATGTAATTCACCTACCGCATTGTAATCAAAGGCACGGATTATTTTTAAAAACCTATCAGTACAGCTTTGCGGAGCCCGACCCAGGGATTTTTATGCAACGACTGAAAAATTCAGTAGTTTGACATCGTATTACTAGTTTACAACTTCATTGAAACCGTCATGCCGAATTTCTGCTCAATTGGACGATTTTATGAAATCGGTATGGGTCACCCACTGGGGGCCTTCCAAATGAAAATGTTCGCAATTTTACTTCATATTCCTTCATTAAAAGTCATTAGCATTATATGTACCAAATTTCATCTAGATCCTATGACTTCGAAAAATCGGTGTGGGTCACCCCATAGGGTATCTCAAAGTGATTTTTTTTTCAATTTAAAGTTATATTCTATCACTTGCCGTCATTAGTGACCTGGGTCGGGCTAAAAAGATTTTCCTCAAGCAAGTTAAATTGAAACTGAAGAACAGGATGTATAGTTGGAGAAGATGTAAAGTAAGCTAATGTTCAACGACGGCTACTGCACATTTGTTTTTAGGCAAAATGACTACATTTGCGTTTGCGAATTGCCCGATGTCCCATCGGAACTGATCGGAGAGCATATTTCCCACCTTAATAAATTCTTTTTGTAAAAAAACACTCTTCGGTGAGGAAGTATCAGACGCGGACAAAAGAATAAAACAAGAAGTACTAATTAGGTCGGAGATTATTGAGATAATTTAAAATATACAATCTTTTTAGTATTCGCATAATATAAAGGTTGCCTCACCGTGGGCCCTTCGTCATGTAGCGAAATGAAAAAAATTGTCTGGTAGTGGGATCACATGAATGCTGCTAAAAGGTAAAACCCCCGATATGTCTCGCGTCTGTATAAAATCACCTACACTGCAAAAAATTTTCTTGTAGATTTTAACACCAACAATGTAAATATGCGGCTACGCCGACATCGTGTAGATTGTTGTCACCGCTGGTGAGAATGATTGTCCCCAACCGGTGACATTAGCTACGAAGTTGTGTCAATTTATCACTAAGTGGTGTAAATCTTATACCATCCAGTGACAATTTTGCATCATTTCGGTGTAGCCGCAAATCGACCCCGTGGTTTGCTAATATTTTTTGCAGTGTATATGTTCAGGTAAATTTAATATGGTAAAGTTGTGTTATACCTTAATCTAAAAAATCACTGTGTAATAGTTTCTAAAAATTAAGACATTATCGGTTTTACATGCCTAACATCAAAATTATTCCAATGTGTAAGCTGCTCTTAGTTCAACTGTAAATATTTTCTAAAACTTTTGAATAGGGAATTGTTAAGTAGAACACTCCGAGAAGCAGTGACTCGTATTGTAAAAGATGAAGGGCCCACGGTGAGGCAACCTTTATATTATGCGAATACTAAAAAGATTGTATATTTTAAATTATCTCAATAATCTCCGACCTAATTAGTACTTCTTGTTTTATTCTTTTGTCCGCGTCTGATACTTCCTCACCGAAGAGTGTTTTTTTACAAAAAGAATTTATTTTATAGTTTGTCGATGTTAATACCACTTTGAGATAATCTTAACGGTCTTTGTAATAATGTAAGGAGAACGACATTTTTACAAGACTTAACGACAAAGAAGGACCATTTACATGGACGAAGTGATAAAAATCTTTTTCCGTTTCACATAATAGTAAATATTTTAATTTTATCATATGGCACTGAATCCACTGAATTTTAATTTTTTTAATTAGAAAAAATTTTGTTTGAATTTAAAAAAATTGTAATTTAAATTAAATTTATGGCTGCGCTCATAAGAAATAATTATTTAATTATTTAATTTTACAAATGCATTAAAAAATTAATTTAAGTTTTCAAACAATTCATATAAAAATTATAAAATTTTCTAAAATATTTTATTTAAAAAAACTGAATGAATTCAGTGCCAAATGACAAAATTTAAATATTTAATATAGCTTGCAGTTAGGTAGTTTTTTCAAAACTGTTTTCCGGCGTAACGAAACTGATTTTGGAAAATATCCCACGTATAATGTGTAGCCAGCATGTTAATCAATAGGATAGTGGTAAGTTTATTAAAATTAAGATAAGCCTTCTTCGATGTATTTTAAGGTGCTTTAACTAAAGGTCTTCTAGTCTTTTTCCCCAAGGCAAAAAATTAAAATTCAAAGTAAAATAACTTTTTCAAAATTTGGCAAAATATGTAGTGTGTGGTTTGATAACATCTTCAACGAGTTGCTCCGTAATGGCGTTGGAAGTTTGACAAATACTTAATCGGAACCGACAAATAATTAAAAATGTGATTGTCAAGCATTCTCAGTTCACAAGAAGTGACTCAGGTTTGTCACGAAAAAGTAACATTCTTGTAATCATGACCTTATACATATTTACATCAACAATGGGGCAAGATGAGATTGTATGGGACAATGTGAGTTTTTTATGAGGCAATGTGAGATTTTTATGGGCCAATGTAAAGTTTTTCTGGGGTAGTCTGTGATTTTTTTATGAAGTAATATGGGACTGTTATATGTCTCATGTCAAGATTAGGGCATGAATGATTGACCTGAGAAGTATTAATTCAACATTAAGTTATTCACAAATTGAAGAAAATTATTTATTCATTATTTATTCACTCAAAGTTTGAGCAAAATTATTTATTCATTATTTATTGATTTATTTAAAAATGAATAAATATGTTTGTATCCTATAAATGAGTGTGAATACGTATGGTCATGAAAGGTCATGGAAGGTCATCCCCCTTAAATGCCTCACATTATCTTGAAAACCATTAAATTTCCTCGTACATGACACCCAATATGGAAATAAAGTGATTTATGACCTTTGACATGGCCTATAAGGTCACATGAAGGTCAAAGGTCAAAAATATCGACGGCATCGAATTTTTGGTGTAATTTACTACCAAAATGGTGTCCCGTCTGATAAAATAAATCCTGCAAAAATAATTTGTCAACAGTAGGTATCGAACCTGGGGTATTGCCGGTAGGAATCCGCCCCGATACCGATTAAGCCATACCGGCCAACCTTATTAAGGTATGATTTTTACCAGTGATTATTACTCCTACTACACCGATTCTACTTTTTAATTGTCCTCCAGGTCATTCAATTGACCTTTCACATAAAAGTGCATTATACCAAAAACATTGATAATTACCTGTAGAATCTAAAAAACAATTATGTGTAATAAGAAAGTTTAAATTTTACGCTGAAATCAGCGACACGATTTCTAGTTCTAATATAAGGAGTGAAAATTTTCAAAATCCAAAAAAGACCGCCTTGAGGAATGGAATTCTCTAATTATTTAGTGTTGAAATTTTTTGAACCGACGCATCGTTGTAAAGTTATCTTCGTGGGAGTTTTTGAGAGTTAGGTAGGAAAGCATACTGTTTGGCTTCGCCGGGCCCCAACTGAGCATATTCATGCTTTGGTTCAGTGAGGGGCCCCGCTTTCCGGCTTTCGCCTCACCTCAGAATAAAAACGTGACATATATGTAGGGCTGAACGCAAGTTTGTTCGTATACATAGTATACATATTTAGTTTGTAGCTGAAGTTTCAAACTCCTCATCATTCGAACAGGAATAAATATAGCTTTCTTATCAAAAATTGCTTTCTGAAATGTCTGGCAGGACGCAATGCGCAATTTACCGTACCCGCACGGGTGCCCGCTACCGGCTACCCGCTACCGGCTACCCGCTACAATTTATTTACAAAATCGACTTAATTTACTGCCTTTCGGTAATCAAGAATGTGTAATAATGTTTCGAAGATAGTTGATGATATAATTAAGAAGAAATAAACTTTTCGCTAGAATAGTTTCTCCGGTTAATCTGATCAGCAAGTTAAATTTATTGGCAAGATTATATAACTACTGAGATATAAGCCTGTCTTAAAGGGAAACGAAATTTGAGATGTATTTATGCATTTTGTTTTACCCACATTTAAATTTTAAAAATCCCACCTCATAAGCTACCATGTTATAAATTTACGTCACATTCCTTTATTATTATTGAAGTGTCACTCGCACACCACTCTCTCAAATTTGAATCACAATACATAACTTAACTAAGAAAACCCAATTTGAAAATCAAATTTTACTGTAATATTAAAATTGCTACATTTTAAAATCTGAGAATTTCAAAATCCCAGAATCCTAATATCTCAAAATCATAATATAATAAACCTATAATGCAGATTCCATTTATCGTTAACAAAAAGTAAAAAAATGAGGTGGCATCTGCAGTCAATTTTCTTCTATCGAGAAAATATTTACATAATTTTTCTATAAGTAGGAATTTTAATCGTCTTGCAACGTGATAATTTTATTTGTATGAACTTGTTTATGCTTTAATTGTACAATGAAATATATATTAAGGTGTGCCGTTAATGGGATGAGACGAGATACGGCTCATCTAATCTACCTACTTGGTGAAATGGTATGGAACTTAAATGGGATAATCAAAGTTGCATCTCATCTCATTTATCGTAAGATGAGGTGAGATGAGATCGTCTCATCTCACCGGCAACCTAACATTTATTTATTTTATATGTCATTACTGATCTTTCTTTATATTTTTACCCAGTTGGAATAGTTGGAACACACAATTTTTTCATCACTTATGACTTTAAAGATACAATACATACATTTGTTTGTGCTTAAATTGAGTGCAAATATTTATCTAGCATAATGACACCAAAAATTTAACAAAACACACTAGTTTCACAAATCGTTTATTAACTAAGAAATTGCTACATGTCCTATCAAAAACTGAAATACGCGTTACCCACGCGGGTAGTTCCAATTACCCGTAGGGTTCCCGCATAACGGGTACCCGACCAGCAACCAGCGGCAACCCTAGATTTTACAATACAAAGATTGATATTTAGTTTTAAGAAATATGTGAAACAAGTTGACAAATTTATTTGGCGTTTCTAAAACTTAATTGAAAGCTAGTCAAAATTTATAAAAAGTGTGCACTGCTACCTAAATGAACTACCCAGTCTCTGCATGTATGATAAACTTTGTGGACTTGAAAATATGTCCCAAGTTGAGAAATAGGTTGTACATTTCTTTGAATTTAAGCAATTTAAATAATTTCTTTTATTTGATATATTTCTTTGATATTAGCACAGTGACTTTCAAACTAATACGTGTATAGGGATGTGGAGTTGGGTTGATTGGATGGATTTGTTGATAAGATTTTTGATTCAGTGGCATTACTGGGTGCCATCAATCCCATTGTGGAGTGTTGACGTAGTCAGACTTTGTTTTTCGTTATCTTGCCAATTGTTCGTTGAATTAGCTTGGGAAATATTCCTGTTCATGTTAAAGTACATATCTATGTTTTCCAAGGCTGCATAATAAAATTGGCATGTGAGATAAAAACCACAGGTGGCCAGGTACTGCAAGTATGTATAAGTATTATTTATGTATGTCGAACGATATCATGTAAATATGTAAAGGCCTTATATTTAATTAATTGGAGTCGTATTTCCATCCATTTTACAAATGAACATCGGTTCCGAAAAAAATCAAAGGGTATGGGAATTTTGTGGTTGTGCCACTATTCTGGAATTTAGCATTGAACAATTTATAATAAGAATTGTCCAGTCTCTGTCCGTCTGTCTGTGTGGAACGCATCCCCTAATGCTGGAAAGCTAAAGCATTGGGGGATATGCGAGAGTAGGAAGTGCACCAACGACCAGGCAGGACAGGAAGTTGAGGTTTTTTGTGAACGAGTCAACACCGTAGGGTGACATAAATTTTGGGTCTTAACAAGATTCTTAACATCATGCTCAAGATTCACATGTTTCTCATGCTTCTCATGATCATCAACATTCTCGGCATTCTCTTCATGTTTCTCATTTTTGTCAACATTTTCGGTATTCTCTTCATGTTTCTCAACATTGTCAACATTCTCGACTTCTCAACATTGTGACTAGGATTAGAACGGGAACTGAGACTTGAAATTGGACTAGGGTGGGTGGTATGTGAGTGGATGATGGGGGAGCATGAGTGGTGTATTAGGGGGCAGGGTAAAGTGTGACATAGGGGTGCGACTAAAATAAGTTGAGTTGGATGAATCGGGTGTCATCGATTAGGTTAAATATCCTGCAGGACGCCCTCGACGCGCGTGATTTAAAGGACGCACGTGCTACATTACTAAGATTATGTTGTCAAAATTTCTTTGCCAGTTGTCCTGTGTTACAAAGGCAAGACGAATTACAGTCTTATTATTAAGATGGACAAACAGGCAGGCGGGCACTATACCTTACTCCGTACACTCACCCGTGTTCTACACGGGCTATAGCCTAGTATTATGGTCCGATTGGTAAGTAGGCGATGAAACGTTTGTGGATGAAGTGATGAAACTGGATTTTTCAGTTATGTGTACAAAAGATTGCTCATGAGCAAAGTGATGATTTATTTATCGAGCAGATTGGTCTGCTTGTGTAAAAATATTGTGCAAGGGTGAACATTGCGAGTCCTATGTATTTGGTTCTTCTGGGTTCACCTGTGTTCTGCCAATGTTAATCAGTAAGTGTGATGAGTTCACTGCTAATAAAATCCTTACCAAATCATTACCAAGATGCACACGTATATGACTCTGCAGAATTGGTAGTGATATCTACCGACCGGTGTAGATTTTGATTTAACCCAAAGTGGTAATGAACACCACTATATTGATTAAAATCAATCTCGCAACGTATAGCGGATGTTCTACATACGCGGTAGAAAGGTTTAACTCTAGGTAGTAAATTTTACCACTGTGCTACACACATGCTCTTCCTCGTGGTAATAAATCCCTACTTCTGCATGCTTTATTATTGCCAAAAGTTATGCAGATTTTCACCGCCACGTGTATATTTGTTGCAGATCCGGTAAAAAATTATGTTTATTCCAAATTCATTGTAGATCTAATTCAGGAACACATTCTAACTACTAAGCATAATTAAACAATGTATGTACATACATGTCTCATTAAAATAAATATATAAGTAATGGAAATATTTTAAATTTTCTGTCTAACACTTATAAAATTTCCAACGGTTTTACAATTTTGCATTATTTCAAAACAGTCGTGTATATATAAATCTTTGACATTAATTATGGTGAATAATGTACCAGAATGTCTAACTTTAAATGAAAAATAATAGCGATCAAAATAATCTACATAGAGTTTTTGGATAACGAGTAAACAATTGTTATCCTGTGTTAGTAAAATATCAGAAATTAAACTAAATTTAGGGTAAATGTATCCCATTGCTATTAATAAGTAATAGCTCGAACAAAATATTATAAATCATACATACCACGAAATCACACTCAGAAAATTTTCTATAAATTTTTAACACCGAGCTATCTCCAATACTTCTTAAATAATTACGATGTCCAATAGTTTCGTTCATCAACTCTTTAATTTTGGCGACATCTTTTTTGCAAATTGAATTGAGGTGGTTAACGTGATCGTCGCTAAAGTGGGAATGGTCTTGGACATTTTTCGAGTATTTTTTCTTAGGTCCGTCACTTGCACATGAGGACTGACGTTTTGGTTTAACGGTTGGCAGTTCTCCTTTTAAATTCCGATGAATTGTCTTCAGCCGATTTTGTATGAGTCAATATCGGTTTACATCGTCATACAAAAAATATCCTACAAATTACAAATTTTTTAAAGAAATTCACATAGATAATAATAAGTTAATAATTAGTAAGAAAAATTCATATTTTAATTTTTACCAAGCCATCAGCTGATTTTGAATATCTATACGGGGGTAACAATTTAATGCTCGTTCCTGCTAAAAATTTCTGGTCAGACGTGGAGGGAGAGAGTCTACAATTTTAATTACAATTACTTAAAAATTAATTAGAACCTAAATAATAACAGAACCCAAATAAAAATCTTAACATATATATGTTCATTTTTTACGCGCAGACTTACCCTTTCACGTCTACTAGCTTATCCAAAAATCCTTTAATTAATGTTGTCGACGAGGTTTTATCGACGCAACCTTTTTGATTACATTCGTCGACTAGACGATATACGGCTGCACTCTCAGTAACTGCTGCGTTTGCAATCTAATATTTAAATAAATTTAATATTACCTGAATTGCATCATATTATATAATTTTTCCTTACTCGTGAAAAAGTATCTTTATAGTGATCCGTTTCTTAAGGGGTCGATGGATAACTGCGACTCACCCGGATGCCTGACTACAATCAATTTTGTAAATTAGGTCAGAATACATAATCTGTAATTAAACTTACCATAACTAATTAAATAATTGGGGAAACTGGCGAAGGAGAGGCTGGATCCAAGTGCGATTTTGTTTGCAATTCGCCTTTTAGAAATAATTCAAAATTTAGTATGACAGGCTGCTCGGAAAGGATTGGAAACACCACCTCGTCAATGTCAGCTCCTTGGTCATCTTGTAGAAAAAAATCTGATTCTTTCGCCAATTCAAATTTTTTCTTTACTACAAACAGAGGAAATGGTGAACATGTGATTATTAGAAAACAAAGTAGATTAAATTAACTAAATTAGATGAAACTTACCAGCTAACAAGAAGTAGATATAATTTCCATTAGAAATTACACACGAGTTAATTTTGCCATCTTGACGAGCGACCTGGCACAAGACTCAAACTGACTTGAGCGCCTCCAGTGCAGCGTCTAAAAGCAAAAGTTTTTAACATATGTATGAAATTCTTACCTTTTTGCAGAAAAAATAATACCAAAATGTATGTCTCATTTAAACCGAAAAGTTGATAAGATGGATTGCATTTGGTAAAATTATTTACAGAAGTTTTTATACATTTTAATGAAAAACAGTACTAGATGGTATAAATTTCTTACAATAATGTTGAACATACAATTAAACAAGGTGATGGACACTCGGAAACCCCAATGGTAATAAAACGGTAATAATGGTTTTATCATCATGTGTAACTTGTATGTACCGAAGGTCTGGTAGAAACGTTTATTAGAAATTCTTTACCAGGTTGCTAAGAGTGTTGGCGTTGTTTTGAGATAAGTAAAATTGAGGCCGGTGGAATTCAGCGAGTGCCATCAATCCCATCGAGCTCTTGAAGAGAAATTGCGATATAAAATATACTTCCTTTAGTATTCGTTTAGGCTGCTGGTCTACTTCATTGCTTAATCGCCATGGAAATAAATTTGTTACTGAGCAGTCGTACATTTATTACCAGGCTGGCAATAGTTACCAGCTGGCGAGTGACAAATATTATCAACTTGGTAATGCCTTTACTACCGGCAACTCTAGTGTAGATTTCAATTTTTCAATGCTAACAGGGCATGGCAAAATGCGCCAGCTTGATGTAAAAAATTTATTAAGAAGCAGTCTCTTATAAAAATGAGTAGACCATACATTGTTATGCATCCCACCTACCCATATTACGTTAAGCAGAAACATTTAAGTAAGTATGATTTACATTAACAGTAATCTCGCAAAAGTTGAGGGCAGTTGATGTATAGGTGTATATGAGCATACATAACTTCAAAGCTTAATTTTTCACCATTTATAATCATAAATTAGATTAGATTAGAGGGATAAATGTAACCCAGACTTCTCTTGTGTTGGTGGACTTCAAATTCTAAATGAGCCAAATTGTTGTCTCTTGACATATCCATACATACATATTGGTTACTGGAGTTCACGTCTTTTCATCAAAAACCAGTTATACATAACACGATAAACTGAATGCTTACTTAATTCTATGTTCAAAAAATATAGGCAACATTAAATTCGAAGTATGAAAAATGATTGCGTCTGTTTTTCAAGGTTTAATTTTTATCTTAAGCATGATCATAATATTTTTATTGCGTAGACATAAGTTTCAATTGGGAATATCAATGTTGCATCACAAAGTCAACAAACTAAAGCTCGAAAAGCATTTATGAAGTGTGGGATCGCTAATGGGAGACCGTCCAATATGACCTACCCGGTCGGAAGAAGTATTAAGGTTTGACTGCACCGTGTTGCATGGAGTGTATATGATTGCCGGTGAGATAAGACGATCTGATCTGATCTCATCATGAGACGATGAAATGAGTTCTCAATGACACCGCCAAAATGTTGTGCGATGAGGTGAGTTGCAGCGAGATTAGACCCATAAGCTGTAATGCATCTCATTGCGATGAGATTCTCATCGCAACGTAAATTAGACGACATGAGATAAGATGTAACTTTAAATGTCTAATTTAAGCTCCAACTCATCTCAATAAGCAGTGAGATGAGATGACGTGAGGTCCATCTAATCCCAGGTTTGGATGAGGGGCGAAATAACTACTGACTCTTCACTCTCTGATGCCTATATAATAAGCCCTTTACCTCGTCACTAGGACCTTGATTTTTATCATCAATTTATTCACGAAAAAACATCCTTATCAATTCATAAATACACAATGATTACTGACAATTTACTTAATTAATTATGAACATGTATTAATCCTGCTGTCTCCCCCATCACACGACGGAATGGGTAAAATTTTATATTTTCCTCCGCCCTCCAGATATGATCACCCTTCGTACTACATCATAAAACGACAAATCCCCTTAACTAAATATCTGTAGCCTCACCTAAGAACAACATAACTACGTGGTAAATATGTACGATATACATTACGACGTCGCTAACGCACTTACAGTAAATGAATTATGTACAACTGTATCATCAAACTCCCGACAATGCAGGATTACATATATTGTTTATTTTTATCACTTGTCTAGACACATAAAGTAAATTGCGACACCAATTACCTACTATATATCCAGCTCAATTAGTACTAACTGTCTCCTCATGTTAAGAGAATCTAGCTTCATCTTAAATATTATATGCAAAGTCGCTTTTCATTATTTATGCAAACATTAATGGGAATTATGACCGTCAAAAATACTAAGCTCAAGAGATATATCCGGTCCAGGTAATTTTTCTATGAAGCCAACCATTTTTCTCATAATTTTAGTACATACTTTTTATTATTCCTACTTATAATGATTCGGTTACGGTGTTGTAGAATGAACTACTCCTGCTCGATAATCTTTATAATATCCACCCTCCTGTCGAGTGTCGTTGGGATTTGGAGTGCCTTGAAAATTACACTTTGTGGATGCTGGGGCTTGTTTACACTTGCCAGTCTTGACCCATTGCAACGAGACGATCCAACTTCTTTGGATATGAATTGCGCTCATTGTGTTGAGCTGTGTGATCCTTTTCATAACTAACCACCTGTCCTGGAGCAAGATAACAACACACATACTAATTAAAACCATAAGTTTCCTAATTATGCTAGATATAATGTTTCCAATAACAATTAGCGGGTAACTTTATTACATATCTGTTTTTTTCAGAGAATTTTTCCTAAGATGAGAAATAGCATGGTCAAGACAACAGTTCGTTGTCCCATGTGAAAAATTTAGAGATGATTTTACATTGTATTTTAAGCAGAACAGAAACATACAATAATTTCATATTGTAATATACAGCTTGGTTTCTCCTAAATATTTTATTTCATTCTGAATGTTTTGAAATTTATGGGTTACAAAGTCTTATTTATTATGTAATTATATACATAGATACAACTTGTCGTGATATAATCCTTTCTTTCTACCTTATATTCATCTGAAGTTGTAATTGCTTCATTACCTTATCAAAATACCTAACCCAAGGACACATGCCATGTGGCTTCTTAGCTCTTCCTTGTCCTTGTAGAATATTCTGTATCAAGGAAATGGTGCACTAATTCACCTGGTGTGGTTGTGATTTCGCACTGTAAATAAAGTTGTGCTCAATTTATTCAAATTGTGTATACTCAAGAGTGAGTATATGATAAAATAATAATAAAATTTCCCCAAAATAATTAATAAATACAATCAAAAAATAACAATCGATTTTAATGGAAACGGACGCGATACGAAAATTGGATATTGTCAACAATGTCAATGTCTATCGGATTACATCCTGATTGATACGTAGGGGCAACTAATAAGTTCGAAATAAATTCCTTGTCGATATAAAATTGTATTAAGTTTGCTATATATAATGTGTAGACATGTCTACTTTACGAAAACCAATGGCTTGCCTAATATCGTATAATGTCGCGCTATTTGGTGCAGGTATTGTTAAAGAGTTCTAAAGTAAGTACTAATCTAATCCCATTGGTCGGGCACCGGTTAGCTGTACTGATAGATTTTTTTTAGATCCATATATTCATGATCAATCTTTTTTTGTCATCACATCGATACCCATAAAGGATTTGACAAACTGATCCTGTGTAAAGCGATAAAACCTATTGGTGAGATAAACAATCAGACGATGAGTACTATAACACTTAGTTTTATGCAAATGTCATTACTTGGTAATGTTGTGTTGTTTTTAAAAACGTTTACTATCATGCTAAAACCAAACATTATGCCGTTAGCATTCAATTGATATATTTGTTCATGCGATTGTAAATGCGCAATATCAGTCGTTATCAGTACCTCCAAGTAAACAAATGATAAGAGAACATTCCACTCCACCTCTGCTAAAATCGCAAAATAAGATGTTTACGCAAAATACATTTAGTCTATTTCGTAATTTCATCTCGCAAACACAACCATTCCAGAGACGATCATAGGATACCAAACTTTCAAAATCTAATACATTTAAGTAATTTATCATGAACGCATACATCTTCAGAAACTTCCCAATAGCAACAGTTGCTTTTGGAAATGGTTTCCAACCCACGAATTCTGAACAATTAAAAGAAAATATAACTTTACTAAAAAGCAAAGCTTCCCTACTTTCTCAAGGCGTGGAGATTGGGCAAAAATATTCCCCGAACTTGAAAGCAGCTGCAGTATTTGCTGGAAAACTTGTCACCATCGTAAACATTGTTATTGCCATTGTTGGAGAAGTTGACAAGCTCTACAAGGAATTAAAGAAGATAGAAGGAAAGATTTTTAATGCTATTTTTGAAGGAAAACTACAAGCGTTGAATAGAAACTTGAAAAACCTACTAGACTCTAGAACCCCGGAAATCCAAAAGATTGCTGAAATTGTCTCTGCCGTTGCAAATTTGGATGAATTATTGCCAATATTTGCAAATGAAGATTCCATCTTTCGCCAACGTTATTACTATGGGGCCCCTTTGTTTCTTAACCTATGCGCCATTCTAAAAGCAGTTTGCTTGATCGCAGAATACACGCCCGACTACAATACTGCCAATCTGCACAGTTTGAAACAAGGCTACCAAAATGTACTGGATTGGTATAGAATTAAATGTATTGGAGGCAGGATGGCGTCATGTTATGTACAACAAATGTTACCACTACCATTTGATAATGAACATGATTGGCTCGGCCTTTATAACGTGTACCCGAAGTACTATAAACACAGATCATTTTTTTTGTAAGTCATCCATTTCTGCTATTGGTAGAAATTAATTGCTAAAACTTATATCGATATTTTCGATATGAACGGGTATATTTAGAAGGTAGAAATTTTGCACAAAAAAGGATTACTTATTGTCGACAAATCCCGCGTCGTTAATAATTTTTTTAGAACTTTGAAATATTACTTATGGGATGCAGCAACTCTTTGTGAGAAAAATGAGCTCTCATATGACCGTGTGCGATTTTTTTGACGCCCACAGGAATTTTTTCGACAAACGCAGGTTTGAAAGCGACCTGTATACTTTTGTACATCTCGATTTTTCGTAAAATTTTTCGATCTCGCAAAGAGTTGCCGCATCCAATAAAAATATTTAAATATTCGAAAAAATGGGTATCGAGTTTTTTCGGTATCTCCATTTTTTTAAATCTAACCTGTGACCTATGGGTGACCTTAAAAATCGACGACTCCAGATTTGTCGACAATTAATTATTACTTTTTTGTGCAAAATTTCAAACTTCTAATTTTACGGCTTCATGTCGAACTTATTGAGAGAAGTTTGAGCCAATAATTTCAACCAATAGCATAGATTCCGTGGAGTATTTTGTTGTAATATTATATTTCGATCAAGCGCCTGGAGGAAATATGGAGAAAATTTGGGTGGCACAGGGTGGCGACTGTGGTTCCGAAGGTTTGCGTATTACAATCTTATTGACACTTGGGATATCAGGCGTTATGAAGAGGTTAAATTCGAACCTTTTATACTACTAGTAGCAGGAGGAATATTCGGTAAGATAAAACCTTCAGTATGCAGTGTTGATGCTAGCCCGACTCAGCTTTATGCGATCGTCCGTGTATTCTTGTATTGTTATTTCTACCAAATTCTACAAACTGGTGGGTTGTATATTGTGATCCAAACATTTACGTATTTAAACTTCATATTTAGTATATAGTTGTCATTTCTGCCTAGCATACCAAATTTCAACTAAATCTGACAATTTTTGCTAATAAGTGTGTCTCATCCGATTGGGTCTCACGGGTTGAAACAAATTCTAATACACTCTCCGAAATGTGGTAATGATTCATTACTGGTCGGTGTCTATAGATATGTGACTCTACCGCGCTTGGTAATGAAATCAATATTGCCTGGTATACTTTTGGTAATAAAGTTATACACCGCGCCATAGGCATGGAATTAACGCACCCAAAAAAATAGTGAAAAACGCCCAATAAAGTTGGAAAAACGACCCTTAATTACTTTTCCCCAAATAAAATTTTTTATGGACCCAATAGTAAACTAGAAATGCCCAATAATGTCATTATATATAAAAACAATACATTACAACATTAAATACCTTTTTATTTCTTATACCTTATTCAAAAACGGGTTTTTACATAGTAATTAATGCCTTCTTGGCTTTAGTTGGGCGTCCAGGACCGCAACGGGTGCCAATAGGAACCGTTTTAGCTTCTGGACACACTTCATACTGATTGTTTATAATCGCAATACCCAATACGTGTTTACAAACATACATTTTTAAGAATACAGGGCAAGAGCATGAGGATTTAATCCATCGACGTGCCTTGAATTTAACTAACCAAAGTCTATTTAAACACATTTTATATGTGTCAAAACTCTTCCAACTTCGACGTTCTCTTAATCGTAAATATTTATTAATATCATCCTCTTTAAGTTTTGGTTGATTTGCTGCAGAAATAAAGTAGGTAGTAATATTGTCATCACAAGTGCGATATTTAACATCCCGTTTATTTTGCACCCAGTTGAATGCAGATGTTTGCAAGGCAAGTGATAAAGAAGGTTCTTCGTGAAATGATTTTGCATCACGGATCCCTGGTATTCGCTCCTTTGACCAAATTTCCATTTGATTTATCATGTATTGAATTAACTGGCCAAGTGAAAGTCGCTCCCGGAAAGTACCCTGTCGCTTTATCCATGTATTTGTAGCCTCAATTCCATTATTGGTACTTGGAAATCCCATGCAATATCCTTCATACCATCCATCACGGATGTCAAGATGTTCCTCTTTACGTAATTTTGGAATAATTTACCTTTATCCTTTTGCACATGATCATGACCTGTGACAGACTTTTCAATCCTAACTTCGAGGGTGGAACTTGGCAGAACCATCCTGCATTTCGAAGAACAGGTCGGTGAAATGCGGCAGTTGTAAACCATTATGTCCCTTCATTTGAGGCGTATTTTGTTTTATACACCCATTCACAACGATCCTTCAGGTACTTTTTGGCCTAAGCAATATTTTCAAACTTATCCAAGTGTTCGCAAATGCTCAATTTTCGCCTCTTAACTTCCGGTTGCTTTTCTGAATCAGATTCCGAATTACTTGTGTCGAAATTCACAGTTTGGAAAGCTAATGCCATAGCCAAAACTACAATTAATTACCAAGAGTTTGAATAACAGAGTAAAACAAATTCCTTCTCTGCCAACACAATTTATGTGGCTAGTTGGTAAGAACAAGCCACCAGGAAAAGATTTGTGTCGTACCATATGCATCATAATCTGATGGTATGTATATTGTATACATACTAGTATAAATTAGAATATCAGGCAAGACTTAGTTAAGCTTATTTGGTTAATTATATTATTGGGCATTTCTAGTTTACTATTGGGTTCAGAAAAAAATTTATTTGGGGAAAAGTAATTAAGGGTCGTTTTTCCAACTTTATTGGGCGTTTTTCACTATTTTTTTGGGTGCGTTAATAATGTTCCCGCGCCATATTGAATTACTACATATTCGTACTAAATAATTACCGAAATCATTACTGCTGTGCAGTTTATATATGACTCTACCACACTTTTTACAGTGTATAACTTCACGGCTTCACCATAGTTGCACAGACATTACTAGCAACCTTGAAACCAGGGTTGCATTTTGTCCGTCCAAAACACTTTTGACCGGCCCAGTGGACAAAAGCGGTCAAAAGTGGTTTTAACCACTTTGGTGGTCAAAAATGGCCGCCTATGTATTTAGTTATGGAGAGAGCTAACTTTTTTTAAAATCAATATTTTTGAAATCTAACTTCATATTCGTGATCTCCACAAAGTTCTGAGCATTTTGACATGTAACATGGTCATTTTTAGACAGTTTTTATCGAATTTACAAATTTTCCATAAGAATACATGGGAATTTTAAATATTATCCTAACTTGACCGTATTACCCACTTATTTTCTCAGAAGGACTAGGTACATTTTACCCTCAAATCTGGCCCAAACCTTTTTTTCCTTAATTCTTGTTGGTATGATGGAGGAAGAATAAATATATAACACAAAGTTGGAGAACACGAATATGAAGTTAGATTTTCAATATAACAACTGTTAAAGAAGTTGTTTCACAGAGCCCCAAAATGAGTTTTGACCACTTTTGACCACTGGCCACCAATTTTGGTGGACGGCAAAAAGTGTCTTTTGACCGCCTTTGACCACTGTCCAGCAAAAAGTGGTTTTGACCACTTGCAACCCTGCTTGAAACCAACTTTCGGCACGGTAGGAGAATTTTTGAAAACTCGGTATGGACGACCCCATAGGGCACCTTTGGTTGACAATTTTCTCAATTCGACCTCATAACTCTTTATTACATGTCATGAGTTACCTACGTACAAAATTTCAACTCGATTGGACAATTTCTGAGAATCGGTATGGGTCACCCCTTAGGGTCTCTCTACTTGAAAAGTTGTGAAATTTTACTTCATAGTCTTTCATTAGGGGCCATTAGTCACCTATATGCCAAATTTTAGCATTCTACGATAATTTTGAAATATTAGTGTATAGTACCCCCAACAGTACCCCTAACCTAACCTAACCACTTTTTTTGACCCCCACCGGTCAACCAATTGACCAAGTTGGCTCATCTTCGAAGTTGACCTTTACTTTCACCCCGTACACATATGGTGAAAATATAAAGGCGATCGGTTCAGCCGTTTTGGCCATATCGTGCAGACAGGCCGACAGACAGACACGATGGTTACCTACATAAACTATGAGTCGGGCTAAAAAGCAAAATAAATTAGATTAGATATTTCTATATTGATTAGATATTTATTCATGGTAATAGAATAAAAACCCAAATCTTTAGCTGAAAACAAATATAACGATCGTATTCTGAAGGCTAATTTTTAGACGGGAGTGGGAGTGGTCACTCACACGACCACTAAAAGTTTTATTCGGAATACAACCGAAAGGCTCCATGTAATGCATTATTTGTTAATAGGTGCCTATGACAGTGACGAACCGTATCGTGCAGTCTTGGCGGAATATCGGCAACGTGTGGAGCGCGTTATGCTGGATTTCTTCAATGAGTTTGATTTAATGTGAAATTACTTATTGATTAGTCTAGATTATATGCTTAAACTAATGCTGTTTCAGAACCGGATATGAAATAATAGTTCAATTGAGACAAAATTTATAATTTAAATTAATTTAAATAAAGAAACTTTCAATGTGCAGTGTTGATTTAGCCCGAGTCAGGTATCAGGCCGACTGTATATTTTATATCAAGTTTTTAAGGAACCGAGTTATTTCTACCAAATTCTACACACCGGGGGGTTGTATATTTAGTCGTTCCAAACACTTACGTATTCAAACTCATATTTAGTATATACGGGTCATTTCTACCAAGCATACCACATTTCAACTCATTCGTGTTAGGGACACTCCCACCAGGCAAGGAGCTGGTGGAGGTGTTTACTTTATAAATTTTTTTTTTCTGCGATATTTCTACGATATTTCTACGATTATGTGTAAGGTTAGAGTCTTATATGTTCGACTCCTATGAAGTCAGCTTTTTATGAGATTTCTGATTGTAAGATATACATGAACTCTGCGAATACATTACTTTACTAAACTGAATAAAGTTTTAGAAACCAATCAGGACGCTTCAAGATCTGTTGATCGCAGACTACCGTAGGCACCCAGTGCCCCGGAAAATTCTCGATAATTGGGAGGTATTCTGACAATCTCAAGAATAAAACTATCGACTGCATTGGTATTCATGTCTTTGTTATTTAAGGTACCAGGCAAATCACATCTCTATACATCTCCTCTCGAACAACTTACCATATTTGCAAGAAATCCATCAGCCTACCCACCATTACTGGTTCCAATCCCAGGATTCCATCAGTCACCCCTCTCCCACCCTCCATCCTCCTGGTAATAGACAAAATTAGACAATGGATAAGTTGTGGCTATTTGTCGTAGTACGTGTACAACTCAACCTAATGAGGTGTGCACCAGTTGACAACAAATATAACGACAACCTGGATCTCGTAGTGTACGTGTCTGTTTACCTTCATGGTTATCTTTAGTAATGTCCGAAGTCCCAAAATGTTTGAAGTCGGATAAGAGTTTGTTGTGTGCATTACGGAGAGGAGCGGACGTAAGTTTCCTTGCCAACTAAAACTCACTTTGAAAATTTGGGAGGTCAGCAAACCGTTTCGCCGAATCTGGCAGATTCGCCTGGGATATCATCAACTCTTTTGCTATTTCTTTATCTGGAACAAAAAGCTTCCGGTGTATTTCCCAAATTACAAACGGCAATATAGTTTTGACAGTTTCTTTTATGATTTGAGGGATTTGACTGATAATGGCATTGCAGTAATTTCCTACATGTAGCCTGACACGGTGGTCTTCTTCAAGTTTTCCATCATCCAAGACCCGTAGCATTTGCGAATACCGTTGCTTTCCTGATACGTCAACATCTTTGTCGTCTCTTCCGTTTTCATTCTGAATGACGTCAAATTCGCAATCGCGCAAAACAGAAAATCAGCAAACCCCCCCAAATAACTTATACTAGGGAATCCTCCTCTACTCTTTGTAAATCTTCAGATGCTGGAAGAAAGGCCGCTTTACATAGAAGCGAGTATCTTCCTGCTATTTAACTCCGGCTCCCTTCAGCAGAAGCAGCAACGTATTAAATATTCAATTCGCAAAGCCACTTATACTTATGACGACCACGGGGAACTTGTCCTAGTCAAAACTCCAACGAAACTGAAAAAATCTATGTATACGGTTTTTGAGTATAAATCCATCTCTTACCAATATCTTGGATATTGCAAATCAGGGACGATTTATCCAATATCCGACATCAATGGGAATTCCTGCGCCCCGTTAGGGTCCGTAGTCTCAGGTAAAAATTTGTTGTGTAAATCTGGCCAAGTTCGAAACTGTCAAAAAGTTGTGCAAACACAATAATTATTTATTTTGCTTATTATTTTCCTACTAGACCTCAAGTGCATGTATCCGAACAATGCTGTTTGGTTAGAACATTGGAACTTGGGACGGCGGCTGATGTATGTAAGTGAAAAGCAGAATTAAATTCAGACAAAAATTAATAACAACCGATCTTTTTTTTACATAACCGAAGTATAAACCTTGCCCGTTGACCTGCACCTTCGTAAACAGGCCATCCATTACCCAGTTGACGGACGACTTTTTAGCCCGAGTCAGGGCTTATGGAACCGTCATGCCCGTCCGTCCGTCCGTCTGTCTGTCTGTGATCTCGATAGGGCCAAAACGACTGAACCGATCGACTTGAAATTTTCACCATATGCATATTAGACAAAGTTAGGAATCAAGTTCGAAGATGAGCAAAATCGGTCCACTGGTTGACCGGTTGGGGTCTTATATACCGAAATTTCAAAAGTGTCGTAGAAAGCTGAAATTTGGTACGTAGGTAACTGATGGCTTCTAATGAAAAAATATGAAGTAAAATTGTGAAAATTTTTATTTGGAGGGACCCTAGTGGGTCACCCATACCGATTTTTCAAAATCATTCAATTAAGCCGAAATTTGGCACTGATGCTAATAAAAGCTTATAATAAGGGTTTATGAAATGAAATTGGGAAAACTTTGAACCAAAGTTACCAATTTTTCAAAATCATCCAATTAAGCGGAAATTTGGTAAATAGGTTGGAATATAGTTCAAATTAATATAAAATAGTCGGATGGATAAATTTCTGTCCTAACCCTGACTCGGGCTATATGGAGTCTGCACTGTAGGTTTTAATCCTGGGACACCTTTCTAAAGCGGGAGCATTGATAAGTGGGTGTGGGTTTACGGCAGATGTTACTCATACTATCGAAGTAGGGGCGCTAGGCATCGAAGTAAGTGGCGACTGCAAATTGCAATTAAAGGAAAACGTCACTTTATCATCCACTGGAAAGCACTGCATGGAGAAAACCTCTAAGTTCTTATTGCGCCACATCCTTCCAATCCAAATGAGTGTACTCCATAATTTTATCCTAGACGAGCGGGATGGTACTATGTCGATGCGAATGAGCAATGGCACGCAAGTAATTGACGCCGACTTTAACCCTTTGCTAACAGATGCGCAAACCGCATTATGTTATCCTTCCTAAGCAGACCAGCTTTCTCCTTTGCTTTACTAATATCATTTCAGATAATCGCCGATATCGTGTTTTGTTACAGGTACCAATTGGGACCCTTCTTTTTTATTGGAGGAAACCTTCCAGTAGCCCAAGCCAAGTCGTATCTAATTTGTGACGTGCCTGATAACGTATACTCAATTATGTATGCAATTATGATGCTTTGTTTGTTGAGTTTAATAACACGTTTGCATACATTGTCTACTCTCGCTGTCGCGTGCTCTGAAATTTCTAGAGTAACAGGGCACCAGAACAACGACTTCGCCAAGAAGGTGTGATTTTGAATGCAAATGAAGAACTGTAAGACGCGAAATATTTCATATTTACTTAATTATGGTGGTTCTAAATCGTAATAAACTAATTTTTCAATAATTTACAAATGGGGTGGGGTGTCGTCTCCGCAATTTTACTTGTAGCAGCAAGTGCTGGTTTACCAGTAATGGCAATTGTGGATGGATGGCTTCCTCTTCCGGGAATTATTGGACGATTTACCTTGTGCACCAAAAATATTTCTGTGTGACTTAAAGTTAAAGATTATAAAATATTAGAAAACAAAATTATATTTGTTTTTGCAAAATTATTTTGTTTCATTTGTAGAATATTATAATTTTCCTTAACTTTCCTTAACTGAACTTAAATTCTTTTGTGCGACAAAATCGTACACATATAATTTACAATTTATCAAATAAACATGAATGTATTTCCCTTTATCAGATCTTACATGTCTTCACGGTCTAATTGTTTCCTATCAAAAACTTCAAACTTCTGTGTTTGCATAATGTGGTTGGAAGGTATATGCTTTTAGTTTATCTTAGAAAATGATACATCTCTATCCACGTAAATCCAGTACGAGAGAGTATATCCGTCATGATCACAAGATCCGAGTTTGCTGATGTGTAATATGGATGAAATTGTCGAGCATGTCAATAGGGGAGAAGAACCTAAAATCCCAAAAACTCCTAGACTCGTCAGCATTCATAATGACACGTTAATGCACAGGTGATTGTTGGTTGTTGTGTTCCGACGACATGTAGTAAACGGCGAACAAAAGACTGAAGGCGGGATGCCTCTCAACGCAAAAAACTTTCTGCCTTCTAAAATTGTTTAGCAAAGTATTACAAGTTAGAACGTGTGGAAGAGAAAGGTGACAAGCCACAGGTAGAAACCGACATTTGTGAATTAGAAATCATTAGCAGATCACATTAAATTAATTTGTCCATCAAACAGAATTAAGTTTCTTTGTTAATTGCATCAAACACTAAATGTGCCCAACATTATTTTGTCTGGGAGGAAAACACTCTTGATCTTCATGTTTCCACTTCATGGAGCCTGGCCCAGTCGTCGCGGCAAACCTTATGTCATGAATATCGAATATGTAAATGATGTACACGTATGCGAAACCCCAAACCTCTGTTTACTAAGCTATGAACTTAGTAAACAGATTCTATTAAAGTATATGCAGAGCTTTGATTTACTAAATTTGGGAAAAAAATGTTTGCTTTTGTAACGAAAATGCTACCAGATCGTGTTTGAGAGTTCATCTCGTTATTGAAAGTAAACGACACAAATGAATGCACACACAGTGAGGTATACTGGCTTCTGATTCACAAAGTTCAGATTGCAGAGTTTTCAATTTACTTTATCCGTAAATAAAAGTGCAATTACCAATTAGAGTTTATTAAGGCAAAGAAATATACATGTGTTATACATCTGCGACATTATTTTAACTTACTATTTAAATGAACGTTGAGAGATCAGGAACTTATTGTGGTGAGAGATGGACACGGAGTGAAAAAATGAGTATTTATTTCTTTATTACTTTGGCTTATGTTGCGTTATCCATACACTTCTTTCAAACTCATCTTATTGTTATTTGTACTTATAATAATTATTGATTTAGCGGCTTACCCTGTGAGTAGTGAATCCGATCGTCGAGTCTACGGCAACTTAATTGGAAGTATCACAAAAAAAATTATATCTGTGTGGACAATGTTCCTTATGCTCGGCACGCGAGATGAAAACCAACTATCAGCCAGGCAGGAAAGAGAACGAAACGTTTACTGCTCATAATCTTACTGCGCAATAAGTTGACCCAGGTGGTGGCGATTCCTCTCCTTTGCTTCAAGTAGTGAGGCTCGAAGGTGGCCCGCGGGTGACTGGTTGCTAAAATGTGGTAAGATTGCCGTAAAGTGAGAATGTCATTATTCACATACTCATGTATGCACGTACTTGAATGTAAATTGATTATTCGTAACGACGCCTCTGTTAATTACGTACTCCTACTTGATATGAATGTTAAGTGCATATATGGAATGGTCGATTCAAAATTACGTACCATAGTCCAGCAAATAATTTAGACAATTTTCTCAATTTTAGTGTCGTACTAACTTTGAATTATTTCGTTTAGATGAGACAACCCCAAGAAAGCCTACAGAGGTAATAAATATTTGTCTAAATAATTTAATTTTTGGTTTTTAAATATT